CTGAGCCCGCGGGTTTGAGACCTGCCTGGGCAACTTGACAAGACCTCATCTCTACAACAAATCAAAAATTAGCCGGGTGTGGTAGCGCCCGCTTGTACTTCTACCTACCTGGAAGGCTGAGGCAGAAGGATCGCCGGAGCCCAGCAGGACGAGGCTGTGGTGGCTGGGAGCGGCCACTGCACTCCAGTCTGGGTGACAGAGTGAGACTCCAACTCAAAAAAAAAGACCATCTTCTTTTTTCTTAAGCCTTCACACCTTGCTCTAGCCCCACCATATTGGAACAATAAGCTCACACTGAATCTTAGGCCATGAATTACAACTCTCCAGGTGAACAGCAATAAAAAACTCCTCACTTAAAATACAAACATTCTAGCCAGGTAAAGCGGTTCATGCTTGTAATTTCAGCACTTTGAGAGGCAGGGGTGGGAGGATCACTTGAGCCCAGGAGTTCAAGACCAGCCTGAGCAACATAGCAAGACTTCATCTCTAAAAAAAAAAAAAAAAATAGAAAAATTAGCCAGGCATGGTGGTGCACACTTGTAATCCCAGCTACTCAGGAGGCTGCGGCAGAAGGATTGCCTGAGCCCAGGAGGTTGACTGTGCCACAGCACTCCAGCCTAGGTGAAAGAGTGAGATATACACACACACACACACACACACGCACACACACACACACACACGCACGCAGATTATTCTTACCTTGAAGCCTGAGTAGCTTCTGTCATGTACTGTTACCCATTTTGAAACATTTTTGAAAATCATCCTTTTACAGTGACTTCCCTCTGACTGTAGGCTCACTTAAAAATTAAGCCTAGGACCTTGTTCCACCCTGTCCTATCAGTACAGGGACCACGTGGAGCATAAATAAGCCTGACTTATCCTACCTCCATCTCTAATCTCAGTGCCTCACTTGCAGCAATGAGGATGAGAGGGAGCAGAGGAGAGAACATTTCAGAATGAGGTAATTTTGTAGAATTTGTCATCAGATTAACAATATGCTAGGTCACTGGAGATATATATGGCTGTGTCCTAGGTCATGTCCTCTGACAGAGGACAATATGGAAGAGCAGTGTTTACTAGTCTCTTCATTTTCCAGTGCACCAGAGATGAGAGTGAAGGGTGAGAAAGGAAAGATGAAAAACAGAGGCCTACATGGGGAGAAGAGCGGGCCTGGTATCTATGCTCCTTGGGAGATAGTCTGCTCACAGATGGGACAAAGAACAAGTCCTGGCAGGGCCACAAGCCTACAAAATTATGGCCCAGAATCACTTCCTGGCCAGTGTGTCTCCACACCTCTACCACCCTTGCAACACACTTGACTGACCAGTACTGTCCTTGCACCTGTGGGGACTACATATAAAACAAAACCTAACCCCTACACATGGGGAAGTCTAGCCAAATCCAGCTTAAGAAGCACACTCACCTTGATCCCATTAAAATTGTCAACAGCCAGAATTGTACTCCTCTGGTCTTCATAGCACAGGAAACAGAATCCTTTGGATTTCCCAGTCTTCTTGTCTCGCACAAGATTAATATTAACGACCTCCCCATATCTACAATAAAGTAAGACACTATCAACTTAAAATGCAACAACTTGCAGGTTGGGTTTTAAAACAAAATTCAAGTAATACAGTCTGTACAGGAGACATATCTAGAACAAGATAGCATAGAAAGGTTGAAAATAAAAAAAGATAAGAACAGGAACACTCAATTTAAAAAACAGATGGCAATATCAAGAGCAAAAATAAACTCAAGGCCAAAATAAAGCATTATATGGGACTAAAAAGGTTATGTTACACTGAAAAAAGGCCTAATACATAACCGAGGTATAAGTCATAAAACTAAGCATCAATTAAGAAATTAAAAATTTTAATTACAAAGAAAAACAGAGAAAGTTATGGGAAAATTTAACACATCACTTTGAAGTTTATAACAAAGAAGTGACAGAAATAAGATCAAAATAATTAATATATAGTATAAATACAAATAAACATAATTACTATAACAACTATACTAACAAATATTAATGTCAGACTATTAGATACATAGATACCTTTGAACCCACAAGATGACATTTTCCAGAATTCATGAAGCATGTATTAAAACTGACTACAGATTAGGTCTCAAATAATCCTCCCAAAATAGAATAGACCATATTCTCCAATCACAATGTTATAAAGCTGAAAATATTTTAAACAAAAACCACCCTACCTAACTAGAATTTGACACCTACTCTCCTAGCAACTGGATGAAAGAGAAAATGAAACAAAATAAAGGAAAAAAAAATCAATGGCAGACAACTTAGAGAATAACAAAAATGAGAAGAATATATACCAAAAATTATAAAATGTAGCTAAAGCCATACTCAGGAAAATGTGCAACTTTAAACGAATTTTATTGTTTTTCTTTTCTTTTCTTTTCTTTGAGTTGGAGTCTCACTCCATGGCCCAGGCTGGAGTGCGGTGGCATACACATGGCCACCCCAGCATCAACCTGCTGGACTCTAGCAATTCTTCCACCTCAGTCTTCCAAGCAGCTGGAACTACAGGCGCGTGCTACCACACCTGGCTAATTTTCAATTTATTGTAGAAATGAGGTCTCACCAAGTTGCCCAGGCTGGTCTTGAACCTGCGGGCACAGGCAATCCACTCACCTCAGCCTCCCAAAGTGCTGGGATTACAGGCAAGCTACCAAGCCCGGCCGAATTTTATTGGGTTTTTTTGTTTGTTTTTTGTTTTTTTTTGAGTTGGAGTCTCACTCTGTCGCTCAGATTGGAGTGCAGTGGCCGCTCCCAGCCACCGCAGCCTTGCCTGCTGGGCTCCAGCGATCCTTCCACCTCAGCCTTCCGAGTAGCTGGAACTACAGGTGCGTGCTACCATGCCCAGCTAATTTTTTTATTTATTGTAGAGATGAGGTCTTGCCAAGTTGCCCAGGCGGGTCTCGGACCTGCGGGCTCAGGCAATCCACTCACCTCAGCCTCCCAAAGGTACGGGATTACAGGCTGAGCCACCGAGCCCGGCTGAATTTTATTGTTAAAAAAAAAAAAGAATGAAAGTAGATCTAAAGAAATCAGACAGGAACTAATAAAGATAAAAGCAGAAATTAAACAGAAAATAGAAAAGTCTACCTTACTCCTTGTAAAAAGATAAATTTCAGATAAGTTAAAGCTTTATAAATTAAAATAAAGTCATAAAATAAAATAAGAATTGATAGATACATTACAAGATCACATATATACACCTCAGTCCAAAATCTGGCATCTTAATAAGAAATACTAGAGGCAATTCAGCTAGAGGTTGGGAACTATTTAACATTATATTAGAGGTACAGGACAATGCAGTTACATAAAAGAAAGGAGATACGAGAAATGAAAAAGAGGAAGTAGAACTACTTCTGTTTACAGATTATATATGTAGTATGTAGAGAAAATCCAAAAGAATCAATAATATGTAATGATAAAAAAACTAACAGTATAACAATTCAGTAAAGTAACAGGATATAAAGTTAAAAATTGGCCAGGCAGGTGGCTCATGCCTGTAATCCCAGTACTTTGGGAGGCCAAGGCAGGAGGCCTGCTTGCGCCCTAGGCAACACAGTAAGATCTCATCTCTACAAAAAATTAAAAAATGAGCCAGGGATGGTGGCACATGCCTGTAGAACCAATTACTCGGGAAACTGAGCCCAAAAGGTTGAGCTACAGGGAGCTGAGACTGTGCCACTGCACTCCAGTTTGGGCAACAGAGTGAGATGCTGACTCAAAAAATATATATGTAAAATAAAAATAAAATGAAGTTAAAAATCAATCACCTTCTTACACACAGCTAGAAGGAATAATGAAAAGGGAAATCCCATTTATAATAGCAACAAAAAAGATAAAATACTTAGGAATATACTTAACAACAAGTAATGTACAAAGCCTATATAAAGAAAATTTTTTAAAAACTCCTGAGAGTCACAAACATAGATGTGAACAAACATAAAGGCATCCCTTCTTAGATAGGATGACTTAATATTATAAAGGCATCAAAATCTTCCCCCAAGTTAAAACATAAATTTAATGCAATCCCAATAAAAAAAAAGTTGGGAAAACCTAAAGAAAGAAACAATGAGTGGAAGTAACTCTATAGATATTCAACAAACTGAAAAACTTCTGTGAATAACTAGTGTGGTGGTGGCAAATCAATAGAAACACAGAACAATGGAACAGAGAAACGACTCAAGTATATGTGAAAAAATTAGTATATGATAAGGGTGGCACCCCAATTTGCTGGGGAAAAATATGGACTTTTAACCAATGGTACTGGTACAACCAGAGAGCCATTTGAAAACATATACAACTGAATCCAAGCCTCACATCGTACAACAGAATAAACTCTAAATGGATCAGAAACTTCAACGTGCACAAATGCAACCATACAAGTACCAGAAAATAACACAGATGGGGAGAATACCTTCTAATTATGACTCAAAATCCAGAAGCAATAAAAAAGACTGATAAATTTAACTACATAAAAATAAAAACCCAAAGGGGAAGATTCTAAAGGGAGAGCATGAAGGAATTTTTCAGAGTGATGGAACTGTTCTTTATTTTAATTATGGGGGTGATTACACAAATCTATATACATGTTCAAACCCATAGGACTGTACACTCCCACTAAAAAAGTCCATTATACTATATACTACTTTAAATGAATGAATGCATAAAGATCAAATGACTTTGCTTAGCAAAAAAAATCCCAATAAGCAAAGTCAAAAGATAAATGACAGACTAGGAGAAAATATCTATAATTTATATAACACATAAGGAACCAGAAAACAAAGCCATAAAGGACATTATCAGGACACCCAGTGAAGCTGAATAAAGTCTACAGACTAGATAATATTGTATCTGTTGGTTTCCTGAATTTGATCACTGTACTAAGGCTAAACAAGAAACTATCTTTGTTTTTTGGGAAATACACATTGAAGAATCCACATGATAAGTGGGTATCATGTGCAACTGACTCTCTAATAGCTCAGAAAAAATCATAGTAGATATACATGGAGAGAAATAATGTCAAAGCAAGTGTGGTAAAGTGCTAACACCTGGGGACTCTGAGCAAAGGATACACTCTTTATACTAGTTTATGACCTTCCTGTTTTAAGCCTGGAGTTACTTTATAATAAAATTTTTTTACATGCAGGAGCTGGCTTGAAGGAACTCTTATTGACCCAGTTTTAGCATCAAGAAAGAATAATCTTGTTTTTTTCTTTTTTTTTTTTTGGAGTTGGAGCCTTACTGTCACCCAGGCTGGAGTGCAATGGCACACTCACAGCCACCGCAGCCTCAATCTGCTGGGCTCAGGTGATTCTTCCACCTCAGTCTTCCAAGTAGCTGGAACTACAGGCATACACCACCACGCCCAGCTAATTTTTTGATTTATTGTAGAGATGAGGGTTCACCAAGTTGCCCAGGCTGGTCTCGAACGCGTGAGCTCAGGCAATCCTCTCACCTCAGCCCCCCAAAGTGCTGGGATTATAGGTGCAAGTCACTGTGCCCGGCTAAGAATAATCTTGATAAGGTATCATATGAAATTTAAAAAAATAAGCCCATAGTACAGGTTGAGCATCCCTAATCTGAAACTCCAAAATATTTTCAGTGCCAACACACAAAATTCTTTATTGTATAACATTAACTTCAGGTATAAAGTGCATATAAAACAAATGAAGTCCAGGTGCAGTGGCTCCATCTATAATCCCAACACTTTGGGAGGCCCGAGGTGAGAGGATTGCCTGAGCCCATGGGTTCGAGATCAATCTAGGCAACTTGGCAAGCCTCATCTCTATAATAAATAAAAAAAATTAGCCAGGTGTGGTGGTGATGCTTGTTGTTCTAGCTAATTGAAAGACTGAGGTGGAAGGATCACCTGAGCCCAGCAGGTTGGGGCTGCAGTGGCCGTAAGGGTGCCACTGCACTCCAGCCTGAGCAACAGAGTGAGACTCCAACTCAAAATAAATAAATAAATAAAAATTTTAAAAAACATAAAACATAAATGAATTTTGTGTTTAGAATTGGGTCCCATCCCCAAGACATTTCATTATGTATATGCAAATCTTCCAAAATCCAAAACACCTGGTCTCAAATATTTCAGATAACGGATACCCAATCTGTAATACAAACACGACAAAATGTTATAGCAAAGAGTTAATATCCTTTATACATAAAGGGCTCATGTAAAATCAATAAGAAAACAAAGAACATACCCATAGGAAAAAACAGCAAAGGATATGAATAGATAATTTACAAAGAAAAAGGAATATTAATATGCTACAAATCTATGAAAAGATGTTCAACCTTACTGATGATGAAATAAAGGCAAAGTAAAATAATAATGAGAAGCCATATGGCAAATATTTTTAAAATAATCATTGTTGATCAGGATTCAGAAAATGGCATTCTAGTGAGAGTAGAAATTGGTACTACCTCTTCAGACAGCAATCTGGCAATTGCTTAAAAAACATCTTAAAAATGTTAACATATTGAACCATATCAGGGATGCGTATAAATATTTATATGCCATTACGTGCACTGCAACATAGTTTATAATAGCAAACCACTGGAAATAATGCCCAACATTTTTTAAAAAGATAAAAAGAAATATGCCATAACGTTTTTACTTTTCTGCCAAATGTTCTGTAATGACTATACATTACATTACCTTCATAATGAAAACAAAGTATTTTTTTCAGTAATCATTGTTATCCTGGCAAAGGCAATCTTCATGGAGAGCAATGTATGTAGCTAGAATAGAGAATGAGAATAAACATACACACACACTAGCCGTTCATCACTCAATGCAAAGAAAACAAAAACAGTGCAAGATGGAAGGTTGAAAGTACCACAAAAGAGTGGAAATTAGGCTATACCTACTGTGAAATTCCTGATGCCATATTATTTTTTACTATGCTATGAGATAATAGCAGCAGAACTTGGTGGGAGAGGGTAATGGCACACTGGTAGTAGCAGCTGATAGGAGAGGGACTGGGCAGCTGAGACAAAACCCTAGAGCTTAACAGAGTAATTAAATGGTTCACAGAGCCAGAGGACCACTACCTTTGGGTTTCTAGCTTGGGAGCACAATGTTGGAATGTTTCAGAGAAGTTGGACAACATGCACAGGCAGAGGACCATGGCAAAAGGGGCTGGCCAAGCAAACACAGATAACATACCCTGGCAGAGGAACTGCCATGGCAGGATGATAAGGCCATCTATACACAGAGGGTCCTGGCCAAGTGATTGGGCAAGTTCAGTTTTGTTCCTTGTCAGCCTGTGATTTTCAGTCTCTGGGTAAAGGAAGCAAACTACTACCTAAATCTTCTATTCTCCCACCCTAATTCCTCTGTGCTTTGCCCCAATCCTACAATGCCACACAGATGAGGGTTCAGAAGGGCCCTGTGATCATGGGTTACCCCTAGTTTGCAGAAGCCTGAGGTGGGCCAACATGGTACCTCCCTGGGAGTTCCAGTCCATTCCAACATAAGCCCACATTGAAAAAGCCTCAGTTCCAATATAAACCCACATTGAACAAGTCTCAGTTCTAATATAAGCCCACATTGAACAAGCCTCAGTGAAAGTGAAAAACAGAAACAGACCAGAATCTCCAAGACAGCCTCCCAAATTATCCAACTTCTGGGATCTTCCACATGACAGCATTCTATAATCCTGTCTTGGGACTGATCTAGACTAGAGCAGAAGCTCTTGCCCTCCCCATACAGGGATGCCATTCAGCCTATAATTAGAATAAATGGCATGTGTGATGCCACAAAAGGCACCACAAAAGTAAACTATCAATTCAGGAGGTAGGAAATGAAAGGAGACTTACTGTGAAAACACACAGATGATATCCCCTTCAGTCAGTTCATAAGGAAGCCCTCCTAGAAGAGAAAACCACATTTCAGTTCAGCAAACACTAAGTGTCTGCTACATACCAAGCACTAGGCAGGCCCTGCTCTCAAAGAAATCACAGTCTTATGCAATGACAGAAGTACATATAGGGTGCTAGCAGTACAGAAAAAGGAGTGATTAACTTTGAGTGGAAAAGCCAGGGTCACCACTAACCTAACTAATCTAATCACTTAGTCCTCACATCCAAAGTTCCACAAAGCAGATAGTTTCCATCACAAAAACCTGCTTCCATAAACATATCTTGAATTCATCTGCTCATTACCCACAAACTTACAGCTATGATGAAAATCAGTCGAAATGTGCCTGATTACAGGATTAAGGATTAATCCTAGATTAAAGATTACAAAGACACAGTTAAGCATTTCATAGGAAGTAATTTCCCTTTCAAATGTCTCTCTCCTTATCTGTAAAATGGGGATGTTAGTACTGAGTTTACAAGATTGTTGTGAGAATTAAATAAAACAATGCATATAAAGTGTTTAGCACAATGTGTGGTACAATAAACTTTTTGAAGAGTCAAACTGTATAATTACTGGTGGTAACACAGTGAATACAGGAACAGTAATGTGGCCATCGACAGAAGGCAGGAGCTAACTAGAAGAGGAAAGCGAATTCTGAGGGAAGGGAAATTGGGGAGGGCAGTTAGTAATAATGTGGGGCAGCGGCTAAGACCATGAGTTCTAGGGAAAGCCCACTTTCGTTTGTACTGAAGGCCGTGCCTCTCTCCAATCTGCAGATTGCCCCCTTTTTTAAAAAATAGAAAATAAAGCTCGCTCTTGTTCCTCCGGAGCGGGGGGGGGGGATGAGTTCTAGAATCCCATAGTTCTGGTTGTTGCACTTACTAGCAATGTGACCTTAAGGAAGTTCCTTAGCGTCTCTGTACCTCAGTTTCTCAGCTGTATAATGGGATTATGAGTGTGAAAAAGAGGGAGCGCTAATAACGGTCTCTGAGCCTTAGCAATGTGAATGACTAAGTCGCTGTAGCGGTGATTTGGCAGGGAGAGCAAACTAGGAGTGGGGGAGAAAAGAGGTATGGAAGCAGATTCCCGGGCAGACAGCAGACGGCTATAAAAAGTGGGCAAGGAATGTGGGCAGGAGTGAACGGCGGGAACGCTGAGATGGTCGAAAAAAGACCAGGAGAAACGGATGAGCACTGTGGAAGAAAGACATGGACCTCACCCAGGAAGATCCATGCGCTGTCCTTGTACTCGGAGTGCCAGGACACCTTATCGGCCACCCCCAGCTGGACCTCTCGCTCATTCAGCTCGTTGATCAGCTTCACCTTAGTTAAAGGGCTGCACGGGGGAGAGGGTGAGGGACAGAAAAGCGGACAAGTAAGTGCGGCCCGGCCTGAGCTGAGCGAGAGCAAAACTAGGAGACCAGCCGTTCTAGTCTCCGCGCCCCTCCCCCTGTTCGAACCCCCTGACACTCTACCTCCCCAGTCCCGGTGAACTAGCCCTGGCAGCCCTGCTCCCCCTTCCTCAGAGGTAAACTGAGGCCTTACTTCATCTTCGGAGGTTCGCGCTCGGTCGTTAGACATCAGCATCCGGGCGAAGGTGCGCGGCGCATGCGCGGCTCCGGCGCCGCGCGCCCGTTGGTCGAGTCGGTGACCGCGCGCCGGAATAGCTTGGCCGCGCAGGGGCGTGGCGCCTGTAAACAGGCGCGGAAGCTGTTTTCGCTCCGTGTGACTTCCTCTTAGAGAGGTGGTTTTTCCCAAGTCTCTCGATTTTTCCCTGTGTGAACTGGAGCAAGGGTTCGAGCCTAGTACGTTACAGGATCCCCAGCTTCTGGTCCGATGCCTGAAACTGATTGAGCTAGCTATAAATGTCTGCTGAATGAAGATTGAACAAGGTGCCTGATACAGCAGCGTTAGTCTCAGCCCTCATTTCGGGTCCAAAGCCCCACTTCTGCGTTCACAATAAGTCAGTTGCTCACACACAGCCCTGTCAAAGCATCCCTGTTCAAGAGTTATGGCAGAAACGTGAAGAAGATAGGCGAAAGGGTAAATCTTTTGTTGTCCCTGAAATCGCAATACACTTTATAAGCTGATTTGAACACCCACAGATTTATGAGAGCTGTTACAATCTTTTCCATAGTCTCTCCTAGTTGAGCAGGAGGCAGAAATTAATATTATTAAATTGATAGCTAACAATTGAGCAGACAATGTGCCAAACGATGCTGTGGAGTATGTGCTAAGCACTTTACATGTACTGTCTCCACCTTCACTACAACCCCATGAAGCAGGTACAATTACCACCCCCCATTTTATAGAGGAAGAAACTGAGGCTCAAAGGAATTAACTTGAAAGGTTAACTAAACTCATTATGTCAGGTTGATTTAATTCGTCCTTACTGAGCAACTGAATTTGTCCTGTACAGCTAAGGTGTGTAGATAGGAGTGTAAGGGTGGGTCTTCTGCCCTCAAAGAGCAAATATAATTGAGGGAACAAGATATATTTGCTTGACAGATTCCACTGAAGAAATATCTAGAAACCAGTAGAAGAGATGGTTGACGTGTGTGTGATTTAACCCATACTGAAGACTTGAATCTGTCTTGCATATGTCCACATCAATACCCGGTCTTGGACCGTGATGCTTTAAAAGTGAAGGTCCAAAGCTGTGTAGTTCTCTGTGCAGGCCTAGCTCAGAGTGCCACATTTAGAACCTTGATGAAAGCACTTTGATGATGATGATAACTGTACCTTCAAATAGTTCAGCATATAACCAATGCCCTGCCAAGAAATAGAACAGAGGCTACCCACCAATGACGGTTTCTCTTCATTATGTGCGCCCCTCCCCCATTCCAATCTAGCTATTTATTAACTTTGTAGAATTATCTTGGCAGTGAAAACTAAACAGTGACAGATTGCATTTGGGTTTTATCTACTCCTAGAAATCTCAGGTTGCTTAGTTATAGGATTGAAGTAGCCACTGCAAAGTGCTAAACTAACATGCAGCATTATCTTGCTGGCTTCTTCAGATGGCTGTGAAATGAGAGTTCTGGGGTTACACCTGGGGCTTAGTCATTAGCGTTCAAAAGGAAGCTGGAGCAAAAGAGTAGAGTAAGACCAACCAAAGGGAAGGATAGTTTTGATTGAGAACATGAGAAGACTATCACTATCCAGCTGGCAGATTCAGCAGAGGTATTCTGAAGCTGGGAGTGCTGAAAACCACCCCAGTTTGCCTGGAACTGAGAGGCTTCCTGGGACTCCTGACTTTGGGCTCTAAAATTGGCAAACCCAGAGCAAACTTGGATGGTTGATCATTCTAGGAGACTCTGGAATACATCAAAAAGCAAGAAAGGCAGATTCTCCATGGATGTGCTTGCAATTGGTAGGTAAGATGATGTTTAGAGACATTAATGTCTGAGTTGAGAAGAGATAGGAATCCAAAGGTCCCTCTAAACTTAACATCTGAAAAGAGGATCAGGGAAGTCAAAGACAACCCCACATCCAAGGAAAGGCTGAACTATTTATCTAGCCAGAGTAATTTCTCCTCTTCCCACCACTACACCACAGAATACCCCAAAATAACTCTTCCTCCTGACTCCCCTATTTTGGGAAATGCTATCACAATTTTCTTGGTTGCCTAGTCTCAAAAATATAGGTGTCATATTTTAGTCTTCCCTATTCCTCATCCCAACATATCCATCCAATCGCCAAGTCCTAATAATTGTACTATTGCAGTGTCTCTAAAATGTATCTCTTTCAGTCACAGCCCCAGTCATTATCCCATGCCTCCTAGCTCTTTCAGTACTCTCCCAACTGTTCCAGCCCCTGTTCTCCAGTCTTTTCTCTCACTTCTCCTTCCCTCAAAGGTTTGACTTCAGTCAGGCTCCACTTCAAGGGCCCCTTTTATTACCCAACCTAGACACCTTTGCTGTGAGAGCCCCATACCCCTGGACCACCCTCCTCTGTCTTACTGAAACCTGCCCAAGTTCCAAACTTTTATCAGGTCATCTGTCATGCAGGAAATCTTTCCTGACCTTGCCAGCCCACAGTGATGGCTCTCACTTCTGACCTCTGCAGCACTATAAAACTACTTTATGGCCAGGTGCAGTGGCTCATACCTGTAATCCCAGCACTTTGAGAGGCCAAGACTGAAGGACTGCTTGAGGCCAAACGTTTGAGACCACCCTGGGCAACATAGCAAGACCGAGTCTCTAAAGAACAAACAAACAAAAAACTGCTTTATGTTCTTCCCCCAGAAATACTGTGAAATTTTGAAAAATAAAAGCTCTGCAGTTATAAGCCCCTCAGCACCTCAAAGATTTTCCTGCTCACATAGAATGCACCCAAAATTTACTTATTGGTTAATGAAATTTTAAAAATCACACAATTACCTTTTGGAAAATAGATGAGGATAAGGGGAGAGAGGCCTTTATTTTCCTTGTGTTAGAATTTCCTTACCTTTATCCAGATATCACTTATATTTTTTATTGTCATGTTACCTTGGCAGAGAGTTCATGATTTTTATTATTACTATTATTATTGCTTTTGTCTTTCATTCATTCAGTTGAGGCAGGATCTTCTGAAAATGCAGGAATAAGAAAAGGGAAAATAAGTTACTTCCTGCTTCTTTGTGCTACTCTTTTTGTGGGCTCTTCACTTTGGTGGGATACATGTACAAACTTTTGGCGAAATCCAATCAGGATAGTGATCTTGTAAGCCAATCAGCAATAGGATAAGCAAATGAAATAATTATGTAAAACCAATCAGTGTAACAAGTAATGCTAACTGCCACCTCCAGTTATAAAATATTCAATCAAATGAATAAGGCCAAACTGCTGCCTTGTATGGAAGGCAAAGAAACTAAAGTGTATATAAGGCAATGCCTCACTGCGTTCAGGGCTCAGCCTTCAGTTGCAAATCCGCTAAGCTATGCTGGCACAAATAAATGCTGTTTCCTGGCAAAGTAGCTTTGGTGTCCCATCTCTCTCTGTGGCTGGTTCCCACTACACAATAAATATTTATTGAGCAGCTATTAAATGCCAAACACTGCTCTAGGTGCTGGGGTTATAACAGTGAACAAGGCAAGCAAAGGCCCTGGATCTTACATTCTTTTGGGGGAAGAAGGAAAATGCCCATAAAATATACATCCAATGTTGGTAAGTGTGACTGATGGAGTGTTACTATTTTATTAAGGGTGGTCGGTCAAAGAAGTGACATGGAGGTAGAGACCTGCAAAAATATGGGGAGCAAGCCATGGGAGTATCTAGGAGAAGAGTGTTCCAGACAGAGGGAAGAGTAAGGGCAAATGTTCTGAGACACTTTGTTTCAGAAACAGCAGCAGCAGCATGCAGGGGGAAGAATGACAGATATGTGTTTATTTGACAAAATCTTATTTAGTACCTACCATGTACCTGACACTGTTCTAGGTAGTTGACATGCATAAACTCATTTACTTCATGCAACAACCCTATGAGGAAGATACTGATATCTCCATTTGGTAGATGAGGAAACAGAGGCACAGAGAGGTTAAGTTGCTTGTTCTAGGTAACACAGCTGGTAAATAATAGGGTCAAGATTTGAATCCAGGTAGTGTGACTCCAAAGTCTGCACTCTTAACCACTATGCACAGGATAAGTGGGGTAAGAAGAGCAGATCAGGCACAGCCATGTTGGATACTGAGTTTGGATTTTACTAGATGTGAAGTGGAAGGTCACCAAAGGACTCTGATCTGACGTACATTTCAGCAAGATCACCTTGGCTGCTGTGTTGCTAACAGACCAGGGAGGGAGCAAGGGAATACCTATGGTAGAAGCAGGAAGCCCAGTTAAGGAAGCTCTGCAATAATTCAGGCAAGAGATGATGGTGGTTGCCTCTGGGTGACAGCAAAGAAGGTGTTGTTTTGTATGAGCGAGGAACCAAAATAACCGAAATTATCTTTTGGAGGGTGGGCCCCTTGTCGTACAGGCTTCCCCCATTAGGTATGTGTTCTAGGAACCCATCAGCATCAGTGTACCAGCTAGTGTTGTTGTGAGAGACTACGTTCCGCTTCAGTGAATTTTTTTTTTTTTTTTTGAGATTCTTTCAACACGTTTGCCCATTTCATGATGGGCGATTTACGAGCACACCTGCCCACACTGCACTGAGCGTTCAGCAGTTTTTTTACCAAAAACCACATGATCCCCATGCCCTACCCTCCCTATTCACCGGATCTTGCTCTGAGCAACTTTTTTTGTTTCCCCAGGTGAAAAAATTCGTCAAAGAGAAACGTTTTGCTGATGAGGAAGAGGGGAAACAAAAAACAGCAGAAGCACTAAAAGGCATCAAAATGGATGAGTTCAAAGACTGTTTTGAGCAGTGGAAAAATCATCTCAATAGGTGTATTGCATCAAATGGAGAGTGCTTTGAAGGTGACAAGTTTAAACATGTGAGTCTAAACACACAATATTTTATAAATTAATTCTGGGTTTTTTGGAGATGGCCCTTGTATCTACATATACATATACATACACATACATATATATTATATACTTTATATATATATATGTAGAGAGAGAGAGAGAAAATATATTTCCTTATTGCTTTTACCTGCCCTGGCTGTAATTGTAGAGAGGGATGTGTG